GCCTAAATTGCAAAAAACCTTTGTAGGTAGTTTTTTTTTAACCTTATATTTAAAAAAAAACTTTTTTAATAGTGAGAGACATTTGAATTATGTCTTCGCCTTTAATTTAGGGACCCATCTTTACTTGTTTTGATATATTGCTATAGAAGTTATTGTTCCATTTGATATCAGTAAGGGGAGAAATGTTTGCTGTGGCATAGGGGGTATCCAGATTGATTTATAAATTTAATATTTTTAAAATAGTATTCAGGGTATTATAGTTAATAACATATACTATAATATATAAAATAATATAATTGAAACTTTATACAATACTTTGATTAGTATTAATATTTTGATACTTCAATACAATATTGATACTTTAAAGTATCAATCAAAATTTTTTGATAATTATTGATACCAATACCAAAATTTTTTTGATATTAGTTTTACAAAATATCATACCAAATAGTATTAATCAAAACCCTACAAATTTAATATTGTAGTTATATAATATGCTATTAAATTTAATTGAATTAATAAATCAATAAATAATAATATTTGATGTATTTAAATAATCTTGCATAGAATGTAGCTATTATTCCTTTATTTCTATTAACATTGCTTCTTTCATTTTGCATTTTCTTTTCATTTCTCAATAGCATTATCATAAAAATGTATTGAAAACTGTTCAATTTTATCAAAATTAAAAAATAATAAACTATTCCATTAAGTCATTCTTTGAGAATATGATCAATCGAAATAATAAATGCATCAATATTATCAAGATTATGAACAGACTTATTATCAAATAAAATTGAATTGGATCCAATTTTTCAATTTTTTTCATGTAGCAGTTTGATTAGAGGAAAAAAAAAAGAACGCGTATATTTGTATGGACTAATCAAATTTAATTTAATTTGACCAATTAAAAAGATCAAATTTTTAGCCAATAAAATGGATCTTTAATCATAGATCTCGATCACTAACTGCGTAAAAACTCGTCCTACTGTTTACGCGTTTTTTCTAAGTTGCATATGTTATCATGTTATCAAAAATTAAAGAACCTGGCCCTGGTTTTGAATACTTCCTGAATACTCCCTGTCAATCTTGGGATGCACTCAAATATCATGAAGCGTGGAAAAATAGCAATTTAGGATTGGATAAATCACTTGTAACAAGAAGATTTAAAACACAATTGTTGAAGATAAAAAAACAAGGCACAGAAAAGGAAAAGGAGAATGCCATACGCCTTGAAAATCAATTTAAGGTTAGTATATCTCCATAAATTTATACAACCGCAGGACTGCATTCAGTAGCTACCCATGGAACTTCGTCTTCGCATGGTTA